TCCCTTTAGTAACATATATAGTTGGCATGGCACCCCATCGGAAACTCAGTGAGCCATTCTCCCCTCGCGTCGACTTTTTTTATTATGGCAAAATTCCACATAGAAGAATCGTCTTCTTTCTCCATCTCGCATATTTTAAACAGTCAGTCGTACAGATGCAAATTAACCATACCTCTTTTAATATGCTCGTAGGTACGTGTAATACGCCGGTGGCAGGGGATATGATTCCTCTGCTGTGTTTCATTCCTGGGCTAAGCAATCAATGGTAGGGATGCAGCAGCAGCAGGCGGCAAGAGACTGAGAGGTCCAAAAAGAGGTCAGATATATGTGTCTACATACCATCGGATTCGCATATTTAAAAGAGAAGCATGCAACAAGTTGGATACGTACGATTACATTATTATTATTATTATTATTATTATTATTATTATTATTATTATTATTATTATTTATTCAACTATTCATCAAACAGTAACCTTCAAGCTGGCCGACCTTATACAGAGCCAAGTGACAAAAGGGAAACAATATTATAATAATAATAATTATTATTATTATTTGTTGGTTATATACTGTAAAGTCATGTTTGATAGGTAGGTGGAAAACCTAATGGTCATATTCATATATGAAATATGTACAAACTAGCGATATCTACACATAATATAATACATCGAAGGAAAAAACGAGAACCCTATTTCAAATTTCCTGCAACGAGAGTGGAAGTAGAAAGGACATTTTGGTCTTCACAATAACTTTTTTTTATTCATTAAAAAGACACGTACTGGGATTTAAACCATGTCCATTTTAAAGAAAAGCAAGGATCATAACCAATCACACTAAGTACATTTGTTGTATCTTTTTAAATAAAAAAATATAATATCAGGGAGGAAAAAACTCTTCCCCCACTTCAAATTCCCTGCTCCATGAGCGTTTTTAGGAAGGGTAGAATAGGGAGTCTCAATTTTTTTCTCTTTCCTCTGTGGAACGGGCCAACTTACCATGCACATGCGAATTTAAACGGGTCCAAGAGTGTCAATTTTTTTTCTTTTAGCCCTTTTATTTCTCCGCGGTGATAAAATATATATGAAAAGGCAAAAACAATACTCCTTTTTATTGCTAAAAATAAAAAATTTAACAATAAACTAATGCATGGTATCTAATGGGCTAACCGCTAACCATAAAATAAAAGAGTTGAATGGGTCTGACCTACACGGGATTTGGCCATCAAGTAATACAAATGAACATCATTGGTTTGCCATTCTAAAACAAGCTATTTTCTCTGGCATAATATATATTATGTTATTATTTTATATCTTAGTGGCTAAATATAATGTATTTTAAAGTTATTCAACGGTTCAACCTCGACCAACCCAATTAGTCCAATGTTTATCATTTCAAATATATATTATATAATTATTTGATATCATAATGATCAAATTATAGTGTATTTTATAGGGAATCGTTTGGTATTTGTTAGTAAAAAACTAAACAGAACGATCTATTTGGTTATTTTAAACATTAAAACGATCCTAAACATTTTCAGTTCCTTTTGAATTTTTATGTTTTTATTCCCGAATAAGTGATGTGCAAATTGCGAATTGCAGTCATCTCTTTTCTTTCACTATTTTTTATTTTCAAATAGAAAGTTTAAAAGTAAAGAATAATTAGAATTTGGCATGGGTCCGTCAAACATGCTGAATTTCAAGTTTTGGCCCGTTTTGATCAAGTCTAATTTATAATCACATGGTTCCCTGATACCCGATAAAAATCTCAATCCAAACCAGTTTGGCAGGTGAGTCTGTGTTTACGACCATTTTCTAGGGATACGACAGCGGCGGTTCCTATCTCAAATCGTGTTGTTCGTTCTTGATTTCCTTAGATTTTATCATGGCCTAACAAAAACCAGAAAGCACAATGACGACAAGATGAAAGTTTTATAAAGCAAATTAATCAACCAACGGGCCGAGTAAAAGCTAGCAACGATTGTGCGATGCCCATTTCCCGAAAATCGACGGGATAGGCGATTTTTTATTCGATTTTCTGGAATTCGGTTTCTATAAAACTTACTCCACCTCATCATATTACTTGAAACAATATTGTTTCACAATGTAACTGTTAATGTGAATTATAGGTACCAAGTGGTAAATAGCCACTCGGGAATTAGGGTTGTATTAGCAACCTATTTATATCGTTGTAAGTTGGACTGGATGATTAACGAAATATGAAAAACCTAAAACCTGAGAGGGAGATCCTCTCTGTGGACTAGTGTCATACTGACGATACCACGTTAAAAAAGCTTCTGTGTTTTTTATATTTTCGTTGTGATTATTTGACATGGTATCAGAGCCTCACAATTGAAACTCATCCTCGTGATCTCCGTATTCTTTACGTTGGTTCTTCGGTCACATCTGATTAGGGTTGCCGTCGTTGCTGCTCTCTGGTGATCACTTCTTCTGTCGGTTTGCGCCATCTTGTTTTGGTGCCCTCTGGTTGTCTTGTTTTTGGTCTCGTGCTGCTTGTGCTTCTTCGTACGTGACTTTCTTTTTCTCTCAAGTATCATGGATCCATCCAAGATTGAAGCCTCTCTTGTTAAGTTTGATGGTACGAACTTCTCCCTATGGGAGTTTCATTTTCGTACGTTGGTTGAAGGCAAGACACTTTTGCCTATTCTTACTGGTAAGTATGCAAAACCCGGTGATGATGCTCCTCAGAAGGATCAGGACGATTGGGCAGCAGCCAATGCCCAGGTTACTACTTTGCTTTTGGGGTCGCTGGATATTGCTACTTCTCTCGGCCTTCTGAGGTTTACATCGGCTCATGATATGTGGGTTCATATTTGTGCTATCAATTCTCAATATGATGCCTCTCGGCAATTTGAACTGGAAACCCAGCTTGCAACTCTTGCTCAAGGCGATCTTGATGTCCGTAGCTACTATAAGAAGGCTCTTCATATATGGACTGAATACGATCTCTTAATGTCTTCCTTGACGCCTAATGCTATATCAGCATACATGATCAAGGAACGTAGCCGCTCTCGTATGACGCAGTTCCTCATGTGTCTCCGTCCCGAGTTTGAAGCTTTGCGCGCTTCCTTGCTGCACCGAAATATGTCGAGTATTGATGTTGTCTTCGGGGAGCTGGTCCACGAAGAAACTCGGATGAAAAGCCAGGCCAGTCTTGATCAATTCAGCCATAGTTCCGACTCTGCATTTGCTGTGGGTAAGGCTGGTACCTCTCGCCCTCAATTTCAGCAGGGGTCTTCTGATGGAATTAAATGTCACTACTGTCAAGAACCTGGCCACATTCAACCTTTGTGCCCCCAAGCAAAATTTTTGTAACTATTATAAGACCAAGGGGCATATTATTTCTGAATGCCATGCGAAGAAGGGTCGGGGTCGCCGTGGAGATCGCTCTGGGGATCGTTCCGTGGCTGCTCGCACTGCTGGACCAGGTTATGCTGTTCAACCTACTGGTTCCTCCTCTGATTTTGCTGCTAACGGATCTGTTTCTTCCTTGTCCTCCGATATGGTCTGTAAGCTCGTCCAAGAAGCTCTTCAAGAGGTTCTTCCTGCCGCATTGACCTCTGCCTTCGCCACCGATGCTGCGTCAGGTAATTCTTCTCGTTGGCTTCTTGACTCCGTAACCTTTAATCATATAACGAACTCTTTGGATCATTTTTCTATCATCAAGCCTACTACACTGTTAACGTTACAAGTCGCCAATGGTGCCAAAATTTTTGTGAATGGTTCTGGCACAGCAGTAACTCCGGGTGTCACTCTTCCAAATACTCTTTATGTGCCGAAGCTAGTACCTAATCTTGTCTCAGTAGGGCAATTGGCAGAAGATGGGTGTAAGGTTACTTTTAATTCAGGTGGTTGTGTTGTGCAGGATCAGATGACGGGGAAGGTGATCGGGATGGGAAGTAAGGAAGGCCGCATCTTTGTCCTGAATCACTACCAGAAGTCGGCTGGAAATTCTGGTGGTCGAGTGAAGGGTTTGCCGCATGTTGGGGCTAGTGAGAAGCAGGAGTCAAGTAATTTGAATAAGAAGCAGGAGTTGAATTTTTTGAATTGTAGTGAGTTTATGAGTTGTTCTGTAAAACCTTTGGATTTTTCAGTTAAGGCTACACTTTGGGATTTATGGCATTGCCGGTTAGGCCATCCCCATACTGCTCGGTTATACAGTATGTTCATAAATAATTTATTACCAGATCGTATGGATTCATCGGTTTCTATGCATCCTTCTGCGTGTGTTAGCTGTATTGAAACAAAGACTTCTCAGTCTTCCTTCTCTTCTAGTACAACCATCTATGAGTCTGCTTTTGATCTCATACATACGGATTTATGGGGCCCGTCTCCTGTTCTTTATCTTCTAGGCTATCGATACTTCGCCTTGTTCATTGACCATGCGACTCGCTATACATGGGTATATTTTTTGCGCCAGAAGTCCGAACTCATTACTTATGCTCAGGAGTTTATTCGGATGATACAAACCCAGTTTCAAACCACTATGAAAGTCATCCGTTCTGCTCCTGGGGGTAAGTTCAGTAAAATGAGTTGCTGGTTTTTTATATGTAACATGGCATCTTGTCTCAGCAGTCTTGTCCAGGAGTATCTCAGCAAAATGGACTTGTGGAACGAAAGCATCGACATGTTCTCGAGTTAACTCGTGCCTTGCTATCTCACTCTCGTGTTCCTCGTGGTTTCTGGGTTGAGGCGGTTAACACTGTGATATACTTAACTAATCGGCAACCTTCATTGACTATAGGTAATCAATGTCCGTACTTTCTCCTGTATCATAAGCAACCTGACTATTCATTTCTGCGCGTTTTTGGCTGTGTTTGTTTCGTTCTCCTCCTGAAGAAAGAATGGAGCAAGCTCGATCCAAAGACAACAAAGTGTGTCTTTGTTGGATATAGCGACAGACATAAGGGTTACCTGTGCTATGATACTGCTGCTCGGAGAATGCGAATTTCTTGCCATGCCGTCTTCTCGGAACAAGTCATGCATTATCCCGTCGACAAGATGACGAGCGATAATTCACTTGAATTTCTTGTGAGCTTCCCAAACTTTGATGATACCCCTACTCCTGCTGTCTTTAGCCCGCAGGATGATCCATCCAATCCTCCTGACGAGACATCTCCACCTGGCACTCCATCCATTTCCATAAATCAGCCTTCCTCTTCATCCGAGTCTTCCTTAGCTTGTCACTCGGCTTCCTTCTCTGACCATTCGGCCAGCCCTTCCACCGAGACCATTTCCCCTTCTGCTGCGTCATCTTCCTAGTCCTCCTCAGGGCCAACCTCCTCTCTATATTCCATTGACTCTAGCTCCTCTTCGCATGGTGAAATGGCTATTTCTCCTCCTCCTTTACCAATTCCCAGGCGCTCCCAGAGGATCAACCGTGGTCAGCCACCAAGGAATTTATTGGATTATGATTGTGTGGGTTTCTCGGCTGAATCAGTCCCCATTCCTCAGCACTATCGAGATGCAAAAGATGATCCCAGGTGGAATGCTGCGATGGATGAAGAATTTGCCGCGTTGGAAGCAAACCACACGTGGGATATAGTCCCCCGTCGTCCTGAGATGTCTGTGATAGGGAGTCACTGGGTCTATGCGCTCAAAATAAATCCCGATGGTGATATTGAGCGTTTCAAATCTCGTGTTGTTGCTCAAGGCTTTCGGAAGGCGTTCAGAATAAATTATGACGAGACGTTTGCACTTATGGCCAAGATGCAAACTGTTCGTCGTGTTCTTGCTGTGGCAGCCAGTAAATCATGGTCTCTTCATCAATTAGATGTCAAGAATGCCTTCCTACGTGGTGACTTGAAGGAAGAAGTGTATATGGAGTGTCCGCCGGGCTATGACAAGGGTAATGCGGATGTAGTCTACAAATTAAATCGTTCTTTGTATGGGTTAAAGTAGGCACCACGGGCATGGTTTGAGAAATTCCATAGTCACAGCGATCCTTCATTATTCAGACAGTTTACAATAGTGGGTATTACTGTTTTGTTGATTTATGTGGATGACATGATTATTACCGGGGATGACAGTATATATGAGCTTACTCAGCATCTTCATACAGTGTTCAATCTCAAGGAATTGGGAGTTGTTTCCTATTTTCTGGGATTGGAGGTGCAACAATCGAATTCTGGTATTCTGGTTTGTCAAAAGAAGTACATCATAGATTTGTTGGCAGCTACTCAGTATACAGACTGCAAGCCTTGTGCTACTCCTATGGAGCAGAATTTAAAGTTGAGCCGTTCAAGTGGGGATTTGCTCGAGGACCATACGTTCTATAGGAGTGTTGTAGGTAGTCTTATCTACCTCACTCATACACGGCCTAATATTGCGTGTGCAGTTCAGGTTCTTAGTCATTTTGTGGGCATGGCACGTACTCCTCATTTGGATGCGGTTCACCGGCTCCTTCGATATCTCAAGCATACTATTGAGGTAGGAATTCTCTTTCCGGTAGGAGGGGAGGCAGTGATTGAGGCTTTTGCAGATGTCGATTATGCCAGATGCTTGGATACGAGGAGATCGACTTCGGGCTGGTGTATTCGTTTTGGAAGAGCTTTTGTCTCGTGGCGTTGCCGCAAACAGGAGAGGGTGTCAAAATCATCGACAGAAGCAGAGTACAAGTCTATGTCAGAAGTTAGTTCAGAGATGGTTTGGCTGCATAGATTGTTTCTTGAGCTTGGCGTTGCTTGCAGAATGCCTATGCACCTTTATGGAGACAATACAAGTGCAATTTAGATAGCTATAAATCCGGTTCTGCATGATCGTACAAGTCGCATCGAAGTACACGTGCATTACATTCGTCAGTTAGTGGCAGAAGGCAATATACAGATCAGCTATCTGAATACAGAAGATCAGACTGCAGATATTCTTACTAAAGCTGTATCTTCAAGCAGACACTGGTACCTATCAGGCAAATTGATGTTACGTACCCGACATCAATTTGAGGGAGGGTGTTAATGTGAATTATAGATACCAAGTGGTAAATAGCCACTCGGGAATTAGGGTTGTATTAGCAACCTATTTATATCGTTGTAAGTTGGACTGGATGATTAACGAAATAAGAAAAACCTAAAATCTGAGAGGGAGATCCTCTCCGTGGACTAGTGTCATACTGACGATACCACGTTAAAAAAGCTTATGTGTTCTTTAGATTCATGTTGTGATTATTTGACAGTAACATGTACTTGATTTGGTTCATAAGGCCGATTGATTTTTGATTCATTGCATCACTCATGTCTCTTTCCTACTAAAATTCACTATTTTTATCACGAGTTTCCCAAAAAAAAACTATACAACAATAAGCTATACACCCCATTACATTGTTCAAAGGAAGATGTGGTAAATTAAAGTAAGACATTCACCTATAGCAAATCATGATTGGCCAGAAATTCGCAAAAGCAAAAAAGTAGGAATGATTGTTGATATTAATTTTTGGTTCAATCTTACTACACAATATTGAGTACTATTGGACCAATGACACACACAGTCGGGCAAAAATATATATTGTGGGGAATATATGTTCCTGGAATTCGCAAAGCATTTGCATCGATTCACGGTGGGTTTGTGTTCTCCTCTTTAGAGATGGAAATCGAAATTATGTATATACCTATATGCTCGATTTAACGGACGAAAAAGAATCGATTTATAAATATCTCTATCTTCTGTTTAGAGTTAATTTTATTTTCCTAGCTTTATGCGGGTAATCAGTAAATCGGTTGAGTATCATTTAGTCTTCATGGGGCATAGCCTAATAGAAGGAGACAGTGATTGTATTTTGATAAAGCTAAGTAGGAGTTGAATCCTCTGTTTTTCGGATCTGATTTTGATTTGGAAAAGTTAGTGGTTTATGATTAAATGGTTAATCGTTGTAGAATCGTTGATAGAACTGCTATAACATAAATTATATATATGGTAATGAGTGGTATACTTTATGTGATATGACCGTTAAATCTCCTATTATGAAGTCCGACCAATCTCGACGGTTAATTAATATTTTCTATTAAATTGAAACTTGGGGTTATATATAATATACTAAGTTAGGACTGAATTTATCACTCTATTAATGAAAAATCAAAATCCATATCATCCATCATCAAATGTTCTAACAAAATATTCAAAAGATCTCACAAAATAATCATAATTTTTTTTACACGTAAGTTAGTAATCAGACTACCATTCCATAGTGGACCACACAAAGCCGACAAGGAAACTTGAAAATGAAGTAGGAAAAAAATAAATTATTCAGGAATTGGATGATCATAGTTTACATTAAATTATATTTTACTTAAGTTTTTTGTGGTTAAAATAGTGAATCCATGGACCAGCAAAATCCGAGTGGTTCATTTGATTTCATGTCTAGCCGTTAAAAACCTGTTCGCTCCATCCCAAGCCGTCCAAACAAAATAATCGAACCACTTTTATAATTAGTTTTTGTGGTTCTAGTGTTCTACTGGTCCAATCGCTGATCGATTTGTTTTTTTTTTTTATAACAGTGGTTGAATTCAGCTGTATAATTTAACTTGTATAAACCTTGGGACTGTCTTTAAATGCTCCCTTGTCTACCAAAAAAATCATTAAAAGCAGCACGAGTAATATCGAGACTCTGTTTGGTTGTGAATGGAAAGCTAGATGCGCTGCATTCGTCTTGAAAATAAGTAATACCTAGACTCACAGAGAGGAATTTCTTTCATATTAAAGTGATAAAATTGAAATCAGCCCCTATCACAATAAGATGCAAAAATCTGAAAACCTCGTAAAATTTTAAGAATTAAATTTAAAAAAATTTATAACCATGTAAAAAAGTTTGAATTGATAAATTATTAAAATGTACTACTTACTACAGGCTAACCACCAGATATGACACTCGTTGAATAACAAAAGAGATTTTTTATTCGGATAATAGAAAGAATGAATATATAGCCCAAAATAGCATTATGTTACCTTTCGCCAAATGAAAATTTATTCCTCACCCACTTCTTCTGCAAATTAAATGCTTGGGTTTCCAAAATCAAGATTCAAACGGTTCACCGAATAATGATGATTAATGCATCACTCAATTACAATGATGAGTCAAACTTACTAGAATGTCAAATCAATGTAGTTAAACCATATATAGTTTTTATTTTAGAAATGATGTTACAAGTTTAAAGCGTAAGTTTATATGAGTAAGTGAAATTATCATAAATCTTCCAAATGCAGCTTATATTTTGTTTGATAAATACACCGTGAAACTTTAAAGGGCTATAAAATTTTAGGATCCATTAACATAAGCAAATCCGAAATTTTTTTAACTAGAATAAAGTCTGTCTAACTCATAACAAGAAGTTCATAAACATAGATAATGAGTTGAATTATAAACTAGCACGAACCATAATTCATAATCAAAATGAAATATCTAAATATCGACATCACAGAGCCGGAAATTTCTTAATCGTTAATTTAAAGTTTACATTTGGACATCAACATCATAATTTGCATCCAAATATAATCTCGTCACCATCATCGTCATAGTTGCACTATCACTTAGATCATGTTCATCAAAATTCAAAACTACCTCCATAATCACCCATGGGAAAATGAATAATTTCAACTCCAATCGCATGATCATTTTAGTTTTAAAACAAAATACATTTTACCATCCCACCGAGTGTACAACCCACTCTCTAAACCCGACCTTTATAATAATATATTAAAGCATCATAAAAGGTAGCTTTTAAGGATTTTAATGCGCATATATATGTTTTAAAGAGCTGATATCAAGCTATGATGTCAAAAGAAAATACTATATTTGAGGAGGTAATTACGTAAAAGTGTAAATTTTAAGTTTAAACCATAGTTTTTAACTACATTGTGTCAAACAATAACCAATCCAAACAAACAAGAAAAGGGTTCGTATTACCCAAGTGAGAAGGGAGTCTACTCCATAGAGAAGAAAGAAATAAAGACGAAAAGTTGAAATGCATCATGGTGGTTATGGAATTCGGGTTCGAATTGGTAATCTCCACTCCTAGACTTGATTCGCGAGCTCCAATGGCGAATGACTCCTCCGAATCAGCTACATGAACAATGATTGATTGGCCCATTTCTCTTTAGGGCTTTCTCTTTTTCGTTTTCTGATGGCAAAACTTGGATCCCCTTGTCCAACTACGCATAACTCCTTATTTACCCGAGTAGAGATGATGTCATGGCTGATGACACAGCTGTGACATTGCCTCGCCAGGCCAGTTCGGTCAAAACCGTTCGGTTAACTGCTAACCGAAAACCATTTTGCCACCCCTACACGCGCATGCCTCCAGCCTTTCTGTCCCCGCATTTATATTCCACTAGCCAATCGCGCGACTACTATCCATTGGAGATGGTTTAACAACGTCTCACTTAAATTCTAGTGACAGAGCACGTGAGTACTAGTTGTCTAACACAGTTGTTACTTGTTTACACAGATAGTGGAAAAAATATATAAAAAAGGCAAAATGCAGCTGTATATCCACAACTATCAGGTTTGTGACAAATATATCCATAATTATCGAAATACACGAATTATCCATTTCCATCCACTCCGCTAACTCCGTCAGTTAACTTGATGACTGGACAGACGGTGGATACTTAGTTGGCGTGCTTCTGGCCCCACTAAATGATGTGGATTAAAAGAGAAACAATTAGGCAAAATACAATTGTATATCCACAACTATCATGTTTTTGACAAATATATCCATGACTATCGAAATACAAGAAATATCCAAAAATCGGAAGGTTGTGTAACAAATCTATCCACTTTCGTCAGAAACTATAACGACATGTCAGACGATGTTAAATTGACTAACAAAATGCTGAATCGATGCCATCTCACTTGCCATAAGCCAAAAAGCAACCAAACTTTACACCGTTATCTGTTAGACCTCGACGCTGTAGTCTTCTCCGTTGGCGATTTGGTTAGATTCAAACTTGGTATCACCATGGCACCGACTGCATGGAAGCCGTCAGAGTAAAAGGGAGGCAATGGTTGGGGATTGTGGTTGGAATCAAAATCTGGGCTTGGGATAGGGTTATTTGGGGGTGGAGGCGTCGATCGGAGGAGGATCAGTGGTTATCAGACGTGTTTCTATGTTGGATTTTTAGTCTCGCTGTCTGTGGTTTTTAGGGTTTTTAATTTTTTTTTTCTCTTTTAATCCACGTCATTCAGCGGGGTCAGAAACACGTCAACTAAGCATCCACTGTTTGTCCAGTCATCAAGTTAACTGACGGAGTTAACGGAGTGGACAGAAATGGATATTTCGTGTATTTCGATAGTTGTGGATATATTTGTCACAACTTACGCTACGAGAGTTGGCAATTACCAGCTTGAAACTCCAACCCAACTCGCAGACGAAATTTCGATAGTTGTGGATATATTTGTCACAAACCTGATAGTTGTTGATATACAGCTGTATTTTGCCTTTATTCAACTAGCCTATTTGGCATCTACGTGTAAAGTTTGGTTGCTTTTTGGCTTATGTGGCAGGTGAGCTTGCATCGATTCAGCATTCCGTTAGTCAAATTTAACGCCGTCTGACACGCCGTTATAGTTTCAGATGGAAGTGGATAGATTTGTCACACAACCTTCCGATTTTTGGATATTTCGTATATTTCGATAATTGTGGATATATTTATCACAAATCTAATAGTTGTGGATATATAGCTGTATTTTGCAATTAAAAAAAACCCCACAGATTGAACATCTCAAACAAAGAAGTAAGGCAAACAGTTTCGTTTTGCGCAAAAAGTGACCTGAGAGACTCAAACCCCAAACACTCCATTACTCAACGTAGTACTTGTACATGTCTTGACGGCATTGTGCTACATTACAGCTATACACCGGTGAGTAGTCTTTTAACTTTGCTCTTCAAATTCTCAATGACCACCACATTAACCTCTACCAAAACTTGACCCAGACAGACCCACAGTCCATTTCACATCCCCAAAAACAAAAAAATTTATAAAAACGAAAAAAAAAAATATATCCCACACGCTCCCCCCAAATCCATGCTATAAATACCAGCCCCGCCATTTCCCCATCCCCACACCAAAAATCAACACAAAGTCTCTCTTCTCTAGTCATTACACTCTTTTCTTTCTTTCTCACTTTCTGCCACCACAAAATGCCTCCAACTGAAGCTCTGAACCACAACCCCAACACCACCATGAAGCCATTCAACGTCCAAACCACCAAGCCTCCTCCCTCCAACGGCCACGTGGCGCCCCCTCCGGAGCACGCGCCGCCGCCCACCACCGCCAAATCCGCGCTCTACGCCTACCGCAAGATGATCCTCGTGGCCTCCATCGCAATTGGACTCCAATTCGGCTGGGCTTTACAGCTGTCATTACTCACACCATACGTCCAGCTCCTCGGGATTCCCCACAAGTACGCCGCCCTCGTCTGGCTCTGTGGGCCCATCTCCGGGATGATCGTCCAGCCCCTCGTCGGCTACTACAGCGACCGCTGCACCTCCCGCTTCGGCCGCCGCCGCCCCTTCATCGCCGGCGGCACCGTCTTCATCCTCATCTCCGTCTTCCTCATCGGATACGCCGCCGACATCGGCCACGCTGCCGGCGACGACCTCTCCCGCCCGGCCAAGCCCCGCGCCATCACCGTCTTCGTCGTAGGGTTCTGGATCCTCGACGTCGCCAACAACATGCTCATGGGCCCCTGCCGCGCCCTGCTCGCCGATTTGTCCGGGAGCAGCCAGAAGAAGACACGTGTCGCCAACTCCTTCTTCTCCTTCTTCCTCGCCGTCGGCAACGTCCTCGGGTACGCCGCCGGGAGCTACAGCCGACTCTACAAGATTTTCCCCTTTACTAAGTCCGAAGCCTGCGACGTCTACTGCGCCAATTTGAAATCCTGCTTCTTCATCTCCATCACGCTTTTAATCTTTTTCGCTACCATCGCTCTCTATTACGTCACCGAGCGGCCGATTTCCTCGGACGGGAAGTTTCTGGGCCCCGCGGATGAAGACGAGGAGGAGGATGAAATTGAGGAGAAGTCGGCGGCGGTGGTGAGATCGACGACGTGTGGAGGGGTGCCGTTCTTCGGGGAATTATTCGGTGCGGTGACGACCATGAAGAGGCCGATGATCGTGCTCCTGATGGTGACTGCTCTCAACTGGATCGGCTGGTTCCCGTTCTTCCTCTACGACACCGACTTTATGGGCCGCGAGGTGTACGGCGGGACCTCCAACGGCGGGACGGCGGCGGAGGTCAAGATGTACTCCAGGGGAGTTCGGGCTGGAGCGATGGGGCTGCTGCTCAACTCCGTCGTCCTCGGGTTCACTTCCCTCGGGATCGAGATGCTCAGCCGGTGGGCCGGCGGCGCCAAGCGGCTGTGGGGGATCGTCAATTTCATTCTCGCGATCTGCTTGGGGCTGACCGTGTTGGTCAGCAAGCTCGCCGATTCCAGCCGGCAGTTCGCCGACGACGGCGCGCTGCTGGCGCCGACGGGCGGGGTTCAGGCCGCGGCGCTGCTGCTGTTTGCGGTTTTGGGTATTCCTCTGGCGGTAAGTTTGTTTATCCGGATTCCTACTTTCTCGGGGACGACACTTTCTCGTGATTTTTCAAAAAACAAATTTAAAAAATTCGAAGCTCCTATAAAACGATGTCGTTCTTTGGAGTCAACATTTTGGATAAAATAACAATTTCCGTCGGGGGTTTGTTATCGATGCCGGAGAGTTGACACGTGAACCATGTTGCCCGTTGATTTTCGGGTCTCTTCGGATCGCTAATAAATCATTTTAAATATGGGGATAATTGACCTCTTTTTCCATAGCGGGCAACATTCCCATGTTGCTAATGTTAATTAATTTTGGATTAATCTCCACCTAAGATTCTAATTTGAACGGCACTTTGGATGTGCTATTTCAAAAGATATGTAATTATTAATGATTCTTTTTTTTTTTTAATTTCATATGTGCAGGTGACTTTTAGTGTTCCTTTTGCTTTGACATCAATATTCTCCAATGAAACTGGCGCAGGACAAGGTAAACTAAAAAGTTCTTGAAAACTATAGCTAGTTATTTTAATCATAGTGATTTACCAGACAATTGTCTTTACCTAGCTAGTTAGCAAGATTTTTACCAATTATTGGTCCAATTTTGATCATACCTCATATTATTCTCTTTTTTCTCAACAGGACTTTCAATGGGAGTATTGAATCTTTCCGTAGTCATCCCTCAGGTATAAAAAATATACACATTTCTATTTTTTTAGCGAATTAAAATAGATTGTTTTGTGTCTTTGCTATTGAGATAAAGTTTTTTTTTTCTTCTTAATCATTGAGAAAATTATATTTAGGTACTTCAAAATTTTTATAACATTTTAGTACTTAATTTTTTTTAAAATTTACATATGTATCCCGTCTTCAAATGCTATTTGGAACTGTAATCAAATCTACCAATCCATTTACTCCGGTACATGAATCACCAATCAATTTGATCCATGAATCAACTTATTCAATCCATCAATCTATAAATTTAATCAATTTCCCACTATGAGTACTGTAACAACACTCAGCTGACATTTAACGAAATGTTAAGTCGTTATCAAACAATCAATCAAAGAGTGATTGAGGAAATACATGTCACTAATAAATGTTGTCGGAAGGCGATGAGTTATCCCCACCACTACGGTTCACGAACCCCAGCTAAACACGGTTTGATTAAGGGACCAAAAAATGAAGAAAAACAAAACAATATTTCCTTTTTTTTTTTACTCAAAACAAAACTTGTTATTATATGCCTTTTTCAATTCCATATTTGTTTAAACATTGTGCTGTTGAAAGTGGAAGATGTAAGACAAAATATCAGCATCGAGTTCACAGAATACCCTACCCTACCTGTCACTCCTAATTAAGTACAATAAACAAATTTTGATTAACAAACTATTGTGTTAAGACTGTTAGTTACGGAAGGTGGAAACACAAGTTAGAGTTCTAATTTGTTTTTCCTCCTTGGCAGAACAAGCCAAAACATTACTGTCTCAGTACCGAGATAACTACATTTGATACTAATCTCGTACTATTATCGACAAATTTAGTAATTATTCTCTCAATTTGTCGTTTTTTTTAATGTTCATGAAAAATATTTTTAAAATTAATATTTTTATCTAGCAATATCAATACTAGTAACTGATCGTTGAAAGGGGTGGAAAGCACACTTGCTATCTAGCTAGTAGTGTTACTCTTAAGACATCTAGCTAGACATTGAAAGTTGAAAAATGGACTTGAAGGCATATGTGGGTAGGATCGAATCTTAATCATGTTAGTCTTTGTCTACCAACTGGATTATTAATTAATTAATATGGTTAATAATAATAATTAACCCAAAAAGATACAAAAAAGCTCTGGTCATAATTAAGCTGATCAGCTAAGAAAAAGCATATGTTTGCTGGTACTAAGTATAGATGATTGAAAAAGTTGGATTAGGCTTTCTAGAGCTCAATCATATGAACACCTCAAGCCCCATTTGTATTAAATTTATCTATCTGTAACCAATTATTATATATATATATATATATATGTATGTATATATATATATATATATATGTATAATTAAATTTATTATTTAATATATTGCTTATTGTGAACATGAACAGATGATGGTATCCTTACTGAGTGGACCATGGGACTCTCTATTCGGGGGAGGCAACTTGCCGGCGTTTGTGGTCGGAGCAATCGCGGCGGCCTGCAGCGGGATATTGGCGCTAACTTTACTCCCATCTCCGCCGCCTGAAGCGGTCGGGAAGGTCGCCGCCGGGGGCTTCCATTGATGACCCTAGCTATAAGTTATAACCATCGTTATATTTTATTACTTTTTTATTATTTAATTCCCACGTAATGAGCTAGAGCCTAGAAGTGCCCTTTCTGTATTCTGGCAGCTTCATCTCGATCTTTCTTTCTTCCTTCCTTCCTTCCTTACCCACCAACACTACCGATCATATTGTACTTTTTCCCTTTTTGCCCCATCAACTTTTCCTGATTTTCCTTTTAAGCACGTTCTCCCAACATGCGGGGGAGGAAGAAGGCTAAAACCGGCATCCCTTAGTTGGTCGTTTCTCGTCGGCGGTTCGTCGTCGTCGTCGTCATCATGAATAAGTTGTGTACAAGTCGTCGTAGTGGCTAAGTACGTATGATGCACCATCAGCGGCGGCCATGGATTGAGAACTGGCCCGCGCATGTGGAATATTGTATTATTGTTGCGCTGTATATTTTGTATTCGTGTTATGATGATTGGAAGTAATATATGAAAAGAGTTGCACGTGAATGCATATGATGGGTTTGTACGAGTTGTTCCGGTCCATTGGATGTTGCGGTAAGAGTAGTTGGGGGTGATTACATGCGTACGTAAGATAAGATCCATGGAATATATTTTGAATCTATCAAATTATATATAGGCAAAATACACTTGCATAGCCAAAACTTTCACTTTTGTGCCACTTATAGCCACATTTGGCGAAATACCACTAATAGCCACTTTTGAAAGATGTTGTGTGCCAGATATAGCCATTTCCGTTAGAAACTATGACGGTGTTAATAACTCCGTCAACTTATTTGACGGTTGGCTGACGAGGCGCCAAATCATCAACCACACCAGCGACAGCTAAGCAAAAATTGACACGTCATCTTAATAATTTATTTATTATTAAAAAAAATTAAAAACTCAAATTTTAAATTTATTCAATAATTACACGTCATAAATTAATTAATAAAAATAATTAATTAATGAAATTTTTTTCGGAGTCTTTTACTTGGACGAAGCCACTAAAGTAACACAAATTAAACTAAAATTATAAAAACAAAAATTAAAATATCATCTATGCTTTTCACCTTCCTCTGCGAGACCCTTCCCCTCCCCCCAATTTGCCGCATCACAATCCCTAACCACCTCCGCCATTGCCAACTGAAATCTCTTCTCCATATTTGCTGAGCTTAGAGAGAATGAAGCCTCTTAGTAAGGCTTAACCCATCGTGACTTCTTTTTCTTCTAGATCTGTTCCTTCGCTCGCCGCCTGCATCCCGTCACTGTTGTGTTGGCGAGCCTCCCATCGTGACAGCCTACTCTTCTAGATCTACTCCTATCTCTCATCCAATCAAGTGAGAATCATTGTCGATTGACGGCGGGAGTGGCGTTGGAGATGATTGGTGGGGATTTTATAGATTGAATAGGGAAGTGGAAGGGTCATCGCGGAAGACGGCGGTGATGTTGCTGGAGATGATGGAGTTGCTCCAGCGGAAGAAACCCCTGCACGCCTTTCCCGCTCCAGGTACACGAGTTTTGGCCGGACCACCCTAGGCTGCTGTCAGCGTTGAGATGCATCTGAGCTTCATCATGGCATCGGCGTCGGGGCTTTGAGAGCTGGCCACCGAAAATCGGGACTGGAGGAAAAATCAGGACTGGAGGTTTTTGGGAATTTCGATGGTGGGGGAAGGAAGATAGGTTGGGTACGCTGGTCGTCGGAGGCAGATCGTCGCCTTCGTTGACTTCGCCGCCTTTGTTGACTGAACTGCCTTCGCCGCCTTCGTCGACTGAACTGCCTTCGTTGCCTTTGTCGCCTTCGAATATGGGTGGGTGAATTCGACTGAGAAGAAAACGAAGGAGTAGATAGAAAGTAGAAAACGACGACGGTGTAAAAATTAGGGATTTTGTTTTTTTTATAATTATTATCCACGTGTAAAACGCAGGCTTGACACGTAAGGCCTTCCGTTTGCCCAGTCACACTTAACGTTAACAGCGTTAAAGAATCGGACGGAAGTGGCTATTAGTGGTATTTCGCCAAATGTGGCTATAAGTGGCACAAATGTGAAAGTTTTGGCTATGCAAGTGTATTTTGCCTTATATATATATATATATACACACACATGGCATGCAATGTGGTTATTACATTATGGCATGGCCTTAGCTAGACTAAGGTTTAGTCTGGTATTTACAAGTCACTATCGGTACATAACTATATATATATATATATACTTCATGAAACCCTAATTAAGGTCAGGTGTCGTTTGGATGTGGAAATTTGAAAACGCGGGAATTTGTCTGAATTTCCATGTTTTACAAAATCATGGAATTGACTTGTGGAAATTGAACAAAATTCCACGTTTTGGATAGGGTTTAGTTTCGTGGGAATTGATGGTGTGGAATTTGGTAAAAATACAAAAATGCCCTCCTTTGTTTATATACATATACCCCTCCTAAAGGTTGTTGTTGTATTATACTAACTACTAATTGTTGCTAACTTAAGCATAGTTAGAAAAATATGATATGGAAAAGTTACGTATAAAATACGTACGATTATTTTACTTCATCTCTAAGCTAATATTACATTTAATAGTACATTAAAAGCCATAAATATATAAACTTAATTATTTTTAATAATAAGTACATATATAAATTACAATAAACTTCAAAATTTAATTCATTAAATACGGATATTAAAACTGTTTAGGCGAATTCGATGAGGAGAAGTAGGAAAATCGACGGTGAATGAGATAATTAAGCGAATCCAAAATTAAGAAATTGACAACGGATGATAGGAGATATACGAATGTGAGGGGAGATGAAGAAGAAGAGGTACCATTGATGAATGAAAAAGAATGGGCTACTCTTTTAAGAAATAGTTAGGCGAAAACGGAGAAGGAGTAAGAAAGAAAGGAGGTCCCAGGTTCGAATCCCTTAAGTAGTACCTTAATTACAAAATGAAACCTATATCACCCTTATAAAAAAAAGGAGAGGAAGGACATAGGGACACATTTGGAAATAGAAGGAAGAAAACGTGGTAATGTCAAATTACTAGGAGGAGATGTAGTATTCTCAATTACAATGAATGTGGTAATTGAAGCCAATTTCCACGGTCCAATTCTCATACCCTTTTTGCGCTGCCAAACGTGGGTTTTAACCCAATTACTGCATTATGTGATAATTGGGTCCAATTACTGCATTAAATTTCCACATCCAAACGACCCCTCAGTCTGGTGTTTTACATAATAAGAGTCAAATTATATAAAGACAGTTAAACTAAGTACAAATGTCTCTGAACACCTTCCTTAAAATTAATGATACGCAGCATCAACTTATTTGTCAATAATGAAGAACCAATGATGATTTGTGCCTATGGCCTTTGTCAACATAGTTGCAGTTTTATTTTCTATTAATAAATAGCTAAGATGAAGTGTGTCATCTTCTACGAGTTGCCTAATATAATGAATGTGGATATTGATGTGTTTGGCGGGGAAAGTTAATCTGCTAACTTGAAAATTCGTTAGCAGATATTAACTAATATCCAAAATACATAAATTAATATCCAAGTACTAAAGTATCTAGAGAGCATAGACTAGAATTCAAGGTTTGCTAACTAATATCCACCATGAATCAACTATTATCCCAAATTCACAAACTAATATCTTGACAACACATAATAGTATCCAAACAACACATAATTAGTATCCAGATAACACATAAGAGTATCTAGATAACCCATAAGAGTATCCATATTGAATACTAGTTGGTTGATTGTGGATATTAGTTGGTATCTGCTATCTCGATACTAGTTTGTGATGTTTGAATACTAGTCTGTGATATCTAGATACTTAGCAGACTTTGATATTAGTTCATACATTTTGGATATTAGTTAGTATATACCAACGAATCTTCAAATTAGCAGAATAACTAGGCTGGTGTTTGGCCATGCAAGACCAAATTCGTGGGTCCGGATCCCATCAGTAATCATCAGGTGAGTAACCCCATGCATAACCCAAGAATTCGCCACATCAATGTTTCCTTCTCTCTCTTCGGAAAATCTTTAATTTTTCTTCCCTTAATTTTTAACGGACGATTTCTCACTCGTTTTAACTTGGAATTTAATTTTTTTTGCACAATTAGATCAGATTAATTGTGCTCTTCAAAATGATATCCACTTTGATATTTTTTGGAACAAAAAGATTTTTGTCAGTTATTACCAGTCTATACCATATGGTATTGACTGTACCATATGGTATTGACTGGTATTAAATAACATCATACCATATAGTATGAAAAATACCATCTCGTACCACGGTGGTATAGTATGGTATAGAGTTGGTAACGAGAGGTGTGAATTTTTTCACCCAAAAAATTTTAAAATCCAATAAATCATGATTAAATCGTTTCTTCTGTGCAAAAATTTTCAAAAACGACTAAACAACGAAGGGGATACCATATGGTATGGAGTTGGTAATGAGAGGTATGAAATTTTTTTCTCAAAAAATATTGAAAATGGATATCATTTTGTAGAGCACAACGAACTCGTTCCATCTGTACAATTTTTTTTTTGAAATTCGAGTTAGAATGAAGAAGATATGATCCAATCAAGAAAACTAGGGAAAATCAATTTTTTTAATTCTCCACACTTAGATCTGCAGCCACTTAAAAGAAGGGTCCAGATTTGATTACTCATAGTTACTCATCCTAAGGTTACTCACCCTATCTTGAGACCAAATTCATGGCTATCCGAATTTCACATTTGTTGTCTCCATACTGACCATCGACATCACACAATTAATTCCCGGTTCTTCTAGCAATCTCTGCAACCACACAAGTTCATAACTTACTTAAAACATAGAATGATAATCTGCTTCGGTAGATTATTCAGACACTCGTTCTTGCATTTTGCAACACCACGAGACGACATGTTTATGAAATGAACACACCATCAGAGGTAAAACTTCATGTATCCAATGACCAACATAATTTGTATCGACATATGCTTCTAGCAATGGCTCCCCTATTGACGATGAGAAAAGTCCCACAGCCTGAGTTTCCTATAAATATCCAAGTATTCGATGAACCATATCTAGATGCAATGTACGAGTCATGCCCATATACTGACTGGCAACTTGGACTAAATATGCGATGTCTGGCCTGGTTGACCCGAGATATCACGAACTTCCCACAATTCTATAATATTATTTATGATCATCAAGTAAATCACCACTAGCTAGTCTAAGTTTTAAATTATGTTCCATTTGTGACAAATTTCGCTTGCAATTATCGATACCTTGCTCTACTTAGAGATCCTTCGCGTATTTTCTCTAGGTCACAAATATTCCACTTGGCGTATATGTTGAATCTCCAACTAGGAAGTATGAGATATTACCAAGCTCTTTCAAGTTAAAAGTTTTGTGAAGAGATCTCTTCAATTCATCTATCCCTTCCTGATCATTCCCGGATATGATATGATCATATCATCAATGTATAATAATAACATAGTGATACATTACACCATTGATCGTAATAACAAAAAAAATAGGCCATTTTGGCTCTGGGAGAAACCAACTTGTAATATCGTGCCATAGCTTGTTTGAGTCAATATAGTGAACGACAAAGCGGACACATCATACCCAGACCATCTTTCCTATAATCAGTATGAGGTGCCATATGAACAATTTCTTAAGATCACTGTGATGGTAAACATTTTTCACGTCAAGTAGCATGAGAGGTCAATCATACATTGATTCTACGACAAGAACACATCTTACGATTCTCATCTTTGCAACTGGAGAAAACATCTCAACATAGGGAGTGGGGGATTCTTTTTGGGGGGTAAATGAGAGTCCAAAAAAAGTGTACCCTCAACATAGGGAGTGGGGGATTCTTTTGGGGGGTAAATGAGAGTCCAAAAAAAGTGTACCCTCTTGAATCTTTTTAAACAGCTAGGGGAGTAAAAATGTGGAGCAATTTTAATATTTGATCATGCCCCAAATTGGGGTGTAAATGGAGAGAAGGAAGTTTTGGGTGGGACCGGGGAGAGAAAAGGGGTTGGATTGGGGAAAGGGGAGATCAACTGAGAGGAAGTAGAAAAAAATAATTAAAAATAATTATATTCATAATATGGTTGGATAATGAACTAAAAATTTAGTAACTATCATAAGAATAAAAATTAATTTTTATTTAAGTTACTTGAACTCTTATGTCGACAAATCAATGTTGAAGTCGATGACATGAGTTAGCTACGTGTCTTGATCAAATAGTTAAAACTTACATGTTCAAATGTGTTTGACTAAGTTCGACCATATCCAATTTAAAGTTAAACTGGGTGTGGGAACCTGTAAGATGACCATTTATGGTTAAACCCGATTTAATAGTACTCTATTGTAACAATCATTTCGACAAAAATCAACGCCCGAGTGGGAGACATGAGCTAGCTATATGTCTTGGTCATGGATTGAGTTTCAAGCATACTCATTCGGGGTTGTTCTGCTAATTATGATTTTTATGGATCCAATAATATTATTTGTATTTATTAAATTATATTGATTAATATTTATGAATATTAATTATTTGTATCATATTTATTTATGTGTGAATATTTTGTGATCGTCTTTTATTAATTTAATAAGTATATTATATAATAATACAATTTACTTACTTTTCACTCTATTTGCACCCCTACTTTTTCATATAAACAACAATATAGCCCTCTACTTATACGCACCATCAACAATTTACCCCTAAACTGCACCGCGCTCGAATTTGCATCCAGTAGCAAACAATTGATCGGGTTCCTTAGGAACCACGTCCCATGTCACATTTACTGCTAGGGCGACAATTTCCTCGGCCATCGCAATAGCCGACTCTGGATGACCACAAGCTTGGTGGTAAGTGGGTTCAAAAAATCCATATCTAAAGGGTGTGAATTAAAGACATTTTATTTTCTCTAGTTTTCTTAATCGGCTCTTATCTTATTCGTTCTAACTCGATTTTCAAATTTTTTTGAACAAATGGAACGAGTTTGTTGTGCTCTACAAAATGAGATCAATTTTCAATATTTTTTTAGAAGTTTTTTCCATAGCTCCCTTTACCAACTCCATACCATATGGTAACTTCTTCGTTTTAAAGTCATTTTTAAAAATATTTGCTGAGAAGTAACGAGTTCATAATGATTATTAGATCTACAAATTTCTGGGTGAAAAAAATACATGACAAAAAATTACCATACATTACCACTCTGGTATGTGGGTGGTAACTTGTGGTAAATAATGATGAAAGTCGTAAATGGCAGTTAGTGTATCCTATTATCATGTATTCAACCTTCCTATAGTCTTGGTTCATACAATCATGATACGCTTTCTTATCTTATGGTATTCTCCTATTTAATATCATATGGTATTGACCGGTAAAAAATGCATCAATTTTTTCCCCTAAAAATATATCAAAGTGAATATCATTTTAAAGAGCATAATTAATTAGATTTATCTGTGCAAAAAAATTTAAATTTCGACTTAAAACGAGAGAGATATCACCCGTTAAAAATTAAAAGAAAAAAGATAAAATTTAAAAGGCTTTCTATGAGAGATGCTCGTATCATGCTAATGTGGACATATTACTCATATAGTTACTCATGCGAAAGTTATCTGCTCCCGATAAGTAGAAGATACAAGGATTGAATTATTTGAGCGGTAAGTAGAAGATACAAGGCAAAATACACTTGCATAGCCAAAACTTTCACCTTTGTGCCACTTATAGCCACATTTGGTGAAATACCACTAATAGCCACTTCCGTCCGATTCTTTAACACTGTTAACGTTAAGTGTGACTGGGCAAACAGAAGGGCTTACGTGTCAAGCCTGCGTTTTACACGTCGATAAACATTAAAAAAAATTACAGAATCCCTAATTTTTACTCCGTCGTTTTCTCCTCAGTCGAATTCACCCACCCATATTCGAAGGCGACGAAGGCAGCAAAGTCGACGAAGGCTGCGAAGTCAACGAAGACGACGATCTGCCTCTGACGACCAGCGTACCCAACCTCTCTTCCTTCCCCCACCATCGAAATACCCAAAAACCTCTAGTCCCGATTTTTCTTCCAATCCCGATTTTCCTCCTTCGATAAAAACATCCATGCATCCAATGGGTTGACCAACCGGCGGCGAGCTTTGGCGGAGTCCTTTGAAGCTTATTTTGTGTTGTTTGCTTTGAAGGAATCTCGGAATCGACCCTTGCAATTCGCGATTTGACTGGGTTCGTCGAAACCCTAATCGCACTTGAAAGGGGGATTTTTGCTCCCACTCTTGTGTCGCGACTAGTAAGGTTCTTTTCTTGCTTTGTTACTGTGGTTGTGGATTGTAGGGTGAAGGTTCTTATAGTTTACTGCTTCTCTTCTCTTTGTTGCTTGGTTGGTATCGAGCTGTAAAGACCAGAAAGCGACACGGCAGAGGAATCTCGGGACCACTCGATTGAACATTTTTGGCGAGTTTGCCCCCATAATTGAAGGTCAGTTAGTCGATGTACTTGGTTAGAATTTTCTATTCCTCTTTGATTCCCACGAACCCTAGAATTGAATACTGTTAGCATTTGTTTACCATTTGTTTGGTAGCGATTAAAATACTATGAGCATTATATAATCACGTGGTTAATGGTGATAAAAAAAACTGATTAAAGCTTGATGATAGATGACTGATTCCTGGGACTCTGCTTTTGGGGAGAACGATCCAGAGGCTGTGGTAGTATCATATTTCTCCTTGCCTGCAGAAGATGGAATTGAGGCTTCTGTTCCTAGAGACATATACCACGTATATGACTCAGACGACGCTGATACTTCTGACGACGAATACCACGAAGCAAGGTCAAACCTACGAGCCTATGGGGAGATGAGGAAAAGGAAGGTTAAGGCGCAGATTGATGGCCATGGGGAGGAGGACGAGCAGCTGGACGATTTTGAAGAAGAGGAATCTGATGATGAAGATGATGCTTTGGCTGATGAACACGAAGAGAAAGATCATGCTGCCTCTCATGCTAATGAACGCAAAGAGCAAGAGTAGGTCACTGCTCCAAGTGCGGTTCTAGTACGCATAATGTACGAACATGTCCTCTAAACCGCGGAGTTGGTATACAAGTAAGTTGAATGGATTTGGCTAGAATATTAGGCTAATTGTGTTGATGAATTTGAACCTCAACAAGTTGCTGAATGTTCGTGTTGTGCTTGCTATGGTTGGATATTAGGCTAAATGTTGCTGATCGGAGGACTGTTGAACGCGGAGGACTGCTGATCGGAGGCTAAATGTTGCCACAAGCGGAGTTGGAGTCTACGTGTCAGAACATACTGGGAACCAATACGTTAGAGTAAGTATTTATACGGTTAAAGGCTTGTTGTTATCAAAGATGAATGTAATGGCTGATTTTTAGAATTGTATTTCAGCTTAATGGTGCGAGAGGACGAGCTTTTGGAACCACGCAACCCACTGAGGTCCAGATGAATGGAAGTCAACCCCCACCCTCGCAGCCTTAGATCTGTATATCCATGAGTCAACTAATCTTTTTTGTGCAAGGCCATTAAGCTATTAGCTACCTCGCTAGAGGTTTTTTTTTGGGAAAGATGACTCATGTATTGGCCTTTTATGAACACTCTCGGAGTATGTTAGTATGTTTGGTAGCCAGAATAATGTAATGTAATGCTCGGATTAAGAAGAACTCGGAGTATGTTGATAGGCAGACTTATGTAATGTTTTGCTCGGATTATGAACAAATCGGAGTATGTTAGGCTACTATGTAATTAGCAACTCTCTCTACTACAAAAGTCGAATTATAGCATTCTCATTGTGCCATAACTTCGTCATCTTATTACTGCAGATAAGCCCTTTTGCACAAAGTACAAATTAGCAACTCTCTCTACTACACTAAAACCTGTTGCTAGCTTCAGCTGTTGATGAACTCTGTATATATGAAAACAAGGGATCTCAAAATCTCTCATCAAATCTTCATCCATTCTTTCCATACAGAGAGTAGACTCCAATTACATCAACCATGTCGATTAATTTCCTACCACATAATAACGTGGTGCAACATAAGAATAACCAATATTAGGTTCAGTACGACAATCACTGTCAATAAAGCTCGAATTACATGGATTTCATGATTAACTCTCCTTCCTTCAGCTAGCATAATTTCATGTGCCTTCTTCCATCTTGATAGCTTTTCAGCCAAAAGTTTCTTCTCCTTCTTCCTCCTTTCCGCATTACACTCAGCTAGCCTCAAACTTTCTTCAATATTCAAAGTTGACAGCCCAATTTCAGAATCATGGTGCTTATCTTCATCGACATTCATTCGCACCCACCTAAAAAATGACAGTTCTTCTTCTCGTCCTCCACCATACGAGCATTCAACTTAGAACTCACATCAATGACAATTTCAAAACCCATCTCTAAACACCTTACCATCCAAAATGGACACCCATAGAACTGTCTTCCTGGGTTCGCTTCGGTTCCAGATGTATTTGGCGTCTTGTGCCAACAGAGTACCGCCCCTAGGCTATTGATGCTAGTCGAAGTTGAGGAAGATGCTCGCTTGGACATGGCTGACCTTCGCGTGAAGTTCTGGGCAGGAGAAATCGCGATTTCGGGGTCGCGAATCGGCCGAGAAGAAGTGGGATTTGGGGAAGAAGGAAGAAGCGTCGAGTCGTTCAGAAACTAGAAGAAGATTTGGGGAAGAGGAGTAAGCATCGATCAGCTTCGTGTATCTCCTTCGTGGGGAAGAGGAAATTTGGGAAGAACCCCAATTTCGTTTTCTAGAAAGAGATGGAGAAGAAGGAAGCCCTAATTTTGTTTTCTGGAAATAGATGGGGATTTTTGGAAGCCCCGTGCGATCAGGTATATGGGGAAAGTTTTTAATTTTTTAATAATAAATAAATTATTAAGATGACGTGTCAATTTTTGCTTAGCTGTCGCTGACGTGGTTGATGATTTGGCGTCGCGTCAGCCAACCGTCAAATAAGTGGACGGAGTTATTAACACCGTCCAAGTTTCTAACGGAAATGGCTATATCCAACATCTTTCAAAAGTGGCTATTAGTGGTATTTCGCCAAATGTGACTATAAGTGGCACAAATGTGAAAGTTTTGGCTATACAAGTGTATTTTGCCAAGATACAAGGATTGAATTATTTGTAACATGTGCCACATAATCATGATGTCGGGCTGGAGCTTTCCCCTTGTTCGGCCCAAGTCACCTGCAAGGGTGATGTCGTCACATCTTCATTCCCTGGTCCTTCATGGTCATCATTTCCATCATTATTCCCCCCGAGTGTGCAACTGAGGGAAAGCAACATTCAACTAGAGTAATGCAACAAAATTCAGATTTTAGTTAATGGCCTATGAAGTTATTGTGAATGATTTTTATGATACATTATAGTCTCGGTACTTCATTCAAAGAATTATTTATGATATAAAATAAACTTCTATCATTAACTTTGTGAAAAAAAAATTCTGTTTGTACCAATTTTTTTACAAATTTCTTTGACATAAATTTGTACCTTTAATATTATAATACAAATAGTTTGTACCTCTACTTTTTTATATAAATTCTTTGAAATATAAACTGAAATCATACTTTTAATATTAATTTAAATTTTACCTATATAATTCGGACACAGAGTCACAGACCACATAATACTTTGGAGCATCATGAATCAATCAAACAGCGCTTGACCTAACGAACAAAGTATATGTTATTAATGCATGAATGTTGTCCGAAGGCGATCGAGTTTGGCTCGTAGACCCACCACGACGGTTCACGAGGCTGCATCTAACACGGTCCCATTCATTCGAAGCAGAGACGGGAGGGGAACAAAAAAATATATTAATAAAAACGCCTTTTTTATCAGTCAAAACAAAATTTGTTCTATTCTGACTATTCATCTTCTGTTCCTCTTTGTTTAAGCATATTGTTGTGTTGTTGAAAGGAGAAAATGAAGACAAAATATCAGTCTCGAGCCCACAAAACGAGTTCACACGCCGTACCTGTCACTCCTAATGATCCACATTTCTATCACAAAACATGTGTACGTGTTAGACTGTTAGTTGCGGAAGGTGGAACATTATCAATGTTTTCTTCAAACTGCAATACAAAATAGATTCCATGAAACCTACCAAGCCCCAGGTTCTAGAGTCCTAGTTTGTGTTTCCTACTTGCCAGAAAATGCCAAATTTAATATCCGGTTGCAATTTCATTTTCGTCTTCTATTTTCATTTAACAGATCAGACAACAAAAATGAGTAAACATGTTTATTTTTCATTCTATTTTCGGTTCACTTAAAAAAAGAAGTAATAGTTTTATTTTTTATTTTCAGAAACAACAAAATATTAGTTCCACCAGTTTCTAACATATGTTTTATCGTACTTTGACTAATTTTATTCGTATCGATAAGATGAAATAATTCAATGACATTACTCAAAATTATTTTAATACTTTTATGTTACTCCTTCAATTTTTATCTCTTACCTAACTCTTTTCAGATATAATTTTCACTTTATAGACAATTTGGAACCAAATAAATCAAAAATTCATTTAATTCAAAATGAATTACTGTGCAGAATCATTTTAAAATGGATCCCATGTTAGAATTTTTATATTCAAACTTTAAAAAAAATTAACTAAACTTTCAAATCATGTTTGAAACACATTTATAATTGAATTAAATGAAAATCTTACTCTTAATTTAGTAACTGAATTACCTAGAAAATGATGTGTATTCAAAAGCGATCATTGAAAGTGTGCACCAACAACATGACACGGAATTGAATAAATAACAAAATTATCATTACTCAACTTATTGAATTTGTAACCATCATAGCATGATGGTTTATATATTTGGTTATAAGTTTTTTTTTCAATTGAAAATGAATTCATTTGTATTTCAAAAACAAAACAGGTATATCAAACAATAATTTTCATTTGATTTAAAAAAGTCACTGCTTTTTTTTTATCTATCTAATCTATTCTCTAATAAAACTAAATTTATTTTATACTTTTACTTTATCATTTTTTTTTAACTTTATCTGTTTTATCAGTTAAACCATTCAACTTTTGTTTACTTTGATTTTAAAGAATCTACCATCATTCATCTTTCAGTTTCAAAACTCGCCAAAGTTTATTTCTTAGGAAACAGTAGAATCATTTCTTTCAAGATATGTTTCCTGTTGCCACAACCACATAAAATGGAAATAAAAGTAAACAAATCTTCACTCTCTTAATACCAAGAGATATCTATGGACTATGATATCAATCCGAGGCACAAATAATATTCCCTTCTCGTAAATTTTCATTTCAAATTGAGCAAATGTCTAATTAATGATTTTGTGTGCACAAATATCAAGTTCAAACTAACATGGCATCTGATGCTAGAAGGGTCAAAAACAGCCCCATCAGCTCGCAGTGTTGTCTTAAGTCCAAGTTAGACCCGAAAAGTTGAAAAGAGAGGAGAGAGGACAAGTTCTGAAATTTGGGTAGCATCGAATCGTAATATGGTTCTGGTTTGCATAGTCTTTGTCTACCAGCTGGATTAATTAATAAGCTTAACAACCAAAAAAAGGTCTGGTCATGATTAAGTTGATTAGCTAAGAAAAGCATATGTTCGCTCATAATAAATTAATAAGCACGAATACAATACAATAATATTGTGTTAGGGTGATTATATGAACACATGCATTGATCGAAAAGTTTGGATTGGCTTTTAGGCCTCAATAATTTGTGTACATGTAGATAATGGTGTCATTACTGAGCGGACCATGGAACTCTCTCTTCGGCTGCCGGCGTTTATGGTCGGAGCATCAAGGCCGCCTGCAGTGGAATATAATTGGCTCTATGTTATTTACTCCCACTCCCATCTCCGTCGCCGGAAGCCACCGTCAAGGTCGCCGGCCGTCGGAGGCTTCCATTTATGACTATTTATCATTAGTTACCTCACAATCATAACCTTATTTTTTATTTGTTTTTAATTCCCACGTACGTCTATCATGAGCTAGACGTGGCGTTTCTAGCTTTGATCTCGATCTCACCTCCTTTCATCCCCCCATCATTAGAGAGATCATATTGTATATTTTCAATGTGAATGCCTCTTTTTCGCTTTTTATTTATAAGGATAATATAGATTTCATTTTATTGTTATTAAAATACTAATGAAATTATCACTAGACAAAATCCTTGTTCGTCCTTTTTTTTTCATTTGCCGCCTCAACTTTTCTATTTTGATTTTTCCTTATTAGCTTCCTTTCTTCCCCATCTCCTTTTAGCCACGTCCTTCCAACATTCAAATGGGCTCAAACCGGCATCCTTAGTTGGTCGACATTATGAGACAATACAGGTAACACATCGAAAATACAAGAGAAGGAATTCTTGTATATAAGTGTTCACCTAGCCCAATTAGTACGAGGCCTTTTGGGGAGGACATCCAAGAGTAAAACCGTGCGGGCTTGGCCCAAAGCAAACAATATCGTACTAATGGAGCAACCAATTTG